AAGAAATGACAAGTCAACAGAATATTTTGGATGATCTATGCGACTTTTAACCTACATTGAGATGAAGAAGAAAGGTTTGAAAAGTGCTAAATCTGTAAAACAGAGTTTGATCTATTCTGCAAAGTTATTAGGGAGTGGTTTACATCACATCATATGCTCTATAGTTAAAGGGAAGGTCCACCCAAAAGTCATATGTTAGACACAGGTGCAGGTGAGCCTCGAACGTCAAGGGCCATGGAGCGTCGGAAAGCTGACAAGAATGCCAACCCGGAGTTCAGCTTTAAACAGAAATGGCAACTGTCACAGATGCTGAACTTGACAGACACTAGGCGGGGAATTTATCAAAACTGGAGCAGACAAATCTGGAGCAGTTGCCTATGGCATCCAATCAGCTTCTCTCATCAGTTTGTTCAGTTAAAGTGACATTAAACCCTCAGATTTTTTAACATAAACCAATACTGTAATGTGTGTCTTACTGTAATCCATGGTTGTTTCCCTTCTCTTTGCTGCTCTTCCTTTTAAATCCTAACTGTCACTCCTCTGCTTCTAAATATGCTAGTTCACTGCCTGTCATGATGATCCAAAGGCTTCAGTATTTTCCAAATCACTGACACAGTACACGTATGTAGCTTAAGTATTGAAGCCAGAGACAGCCAGGCAACCAAGTTTTTCAAAAGGAAGTGAAGAATGGGAGTCCATATTTCTCTCAGTTTATTTCCTTAAAGTGACACTGAACTCAGGAGTTAAATCTTCAAAATACATTCAAGTACCTTAACTATTAACACAAATGTATCTTATTTATGAATCACTCGGCTGTAGATCCTCAAATCATCTCTGAATTGGTGCTGACACTGTCCTTCCTTCTGGAGGGTGGCTGTTTTTGTTCCCCATGGTCCCTGTGTGTGTTGTAAAGTAGCCACCGATCCAAGCCCCAATGATGGACTACGATCTCAATACAAATTAGTAAACTAAGCATGAGATTGTAGTCCATCACAATAGTGAGCTTGGAGCGGTGACTACTTTACAACACACACAGGGACCACGGGGAACAAAGTAGCCAACCTCCAGAAGGAAGGACAATGTCAGCACCAATTCAGAGATGATTTGAGGATCTACAGCCGAGTGATACACAAATAAGATACATTTTTGTTAATTCTTAACGTAATAAAATGCATTTTTAAGATCTAACTCCTCAGTTTAGTGCAACTTTAAACTATGCTAAATATAAAAGTCACTTCAAGTTTTAAGAGCCCATTCACACTTCTCCACGAGCATCAAAACCCATGTTTAAAAATGAATCAACATAACACACTGCTCTTGCACTATAGCGCATGGCTCGAGTTGAGGCTTGTTAGTTCTCCATTCAAGGTAAATTACTGTAGTTTTCCGTGTATAAGACTATACTTTTTCATAAAAATATTTACCTAAAAATGGAGGGGGTCTAAAAATCCCGGTAAATACCAGGAAGCGGCTGTCTTACTCTGCAAAAGAGCATGGAAAATAATGATTTCTGAATTTTGGGTAAGAAAAGTGGGGGGCGTCCTACACATGGGGGCGTCTTATAGACGGAAAAATATGGTAAATGTCACAGCATAATTTAAGACATGTTGGCACACACAGTGATGTGAATTGGCCCTAATTCATTGACATCAAACACAGTGCCCCCATCCCACCCCCCAGGTCCTCCTAATCACTTTTAACATCAGAATGTTACATTTAATGCCTGGCTTTGCTAACTGAAACAAAGCACTTTCTGGGCCGTAGCCTTAGTCCAGTGCTCCCCCTATAAATCCATTGCTTCAAACAGTGTGCAGACACTGAATATGTCCGTTACTTCACACACAGAGTACAGAGGAGTACAAGCTGGAGCAATCCAGTGCTCTGGGCAAAGCTTGCCAATTCAAGGTAAGGCTCCTATTGTAAAAGGGATAGGAAGAGTCTGGAGAGGTGGGGGGGGGCGACAATGTGGCTGATAATACACTCAAACTGACTGATTTTACTTCTTCCTCCCCTTGGCCTGTTAAAGAATAAATGGGGTTCCCACAACACTGAAACATAGTAGATTTCATGTTCACACTACATCATAAAGGGCAGTAATAGCTGGAAATGTGCCTTTTAACTGCAGAGAGTGTGCTAAAAACAACGGTCAAATGTGATTTCTGGTAGTCAATCCATAAGAGGCTTCTAGTCAATGACAGCACTCCTGAATTCCCCAGACAATTCTATGGAAAGTCTTCTCACTGACATATGCTGAGGCAGCATTTGTTCTAGGACCTGGAGGAGGTGCTCTTCCGGAACTTCCAAAGAGAGCAGGCCAGCAAAAGCAAACCTGCATGTCTTCTTACAATTCATTATGGACGACAAGGGAGATTTGTAGCTCTGTCCCCTACACCCCCCCTTTATAATACCATGTGTCCTGCAAGTCTTCTTACAATTGAAGTCCTCACAGAAGGTCATTATTTTAAGTAGAAGATGATGGTCCAAATGTAGTTTTCTATCTGTCCAGCTACTTTTTTTCAGGGGAGAGATAGAATTACAGAGGTTTAAAGTGACCCAGTAAGCACAGGTATGCTTGTAGCCAAAGCCAGAGCCACTAAAAGAAAAGGGAGCATATTCACCTTTCTGGTGACCTGTCTGCTCAAATACCACCGCTTTGCTGCTCCCTGGCCACTGCAAGAATTCAACCAATTAGATGGGTCAAATACCATTTTCCGGGTTCCTCTCGCCAAATCATACATCCTGTAGACACATATGATCCAGTGGGAGAAACCACAGCGTACAGCGGGGGGGAGCAGATATACTACACAAATAAGATGTGGCTGGGGAGCAGCATAGCCATGGCATTTCAGCACACAGGCCACCAGAGAGTAAAGCTGGCCATACACTGTTAGAATTGACAGGAAATAACCAAATTGTAAGAGTGGAGACTCCTACAGCTCGTCAATAAAATCGGTAACTCAATCAAATGTTAGTTGAACATGCAGGGACAAAAACTGTCAGCCAATCAGCTACAGTCACTGTTCAGGTATTCCGACATCAGTGAGCCCAGCTGTCCGAATACAACAGCTCAGTGAGGGAGGGGGATGAAAGAAATCCGTTAGTGAATGTTCAGCTTAGGGATGTTCCCTCTTCTTTGAGCAGGGATGGTTTGGGCTACATATGACTCTGTGATGATGACAGGGTTTCTTATAGCAGGGGTAGGCATTCTTAGCAATTCAGCTGTGGTGAAACTACAAATCTTGTCAGCCTCTGCCAGACATGCCTGTGGCTGTCCATCTTAAAATGCCTGACGGGACTTGTAGTTTTGCAGTTGGGGTGCCGAGGTTGCCTATTCTGACTTTATTCATAGTAAACCTGCCATGTGAGTAATACGCCATTGCTGATCTCCTTAGAAAACCGCTAGTGGCCTGGATTTTTCTGGCTTGAATAGTGAGTCGCCAACCTGAAGAGTATGAAGAAACCAGAGAGTGAGGTTAGAACGAGACATGGCCAGTGACTCTACAATGAAATGACAAGCAGCATTTTCAGGAGAGATCGGCAATGGCTGCTTCCATATATTAAAGTACAGCTTGAGCCTGAATGAAAGGAGGATAAAAGAAAGATGGAAATGTAGAATTGCTATTTTATTTCTGTGACAATTACACTGAATTCTTCCACATGATTGCACAGAAATCTATTCTGAGATAAGAAAACTCTAGACGGGATGAAAGGTGAAGGTGTTGTCACTAATGTTGGGTATACATATGTTTTCTTTGCTCACCTTGTGGGCTGAACTAAGAAAATATAACAGATCCCTCCATCAACACTGAACAGCATGGATGGATCTCGCGCTGCAAGCTTTATATTTTGACAGCCGCTGTCAGAATACCTGAATGGTGCTTGCAGCTGACTGGCTGCCAACGCCAAACATTCTCCCATGTGTTGATTTGGAAAAGGTCGATCTAATGGTTCACTTCTGCCGATGAAATAGGGTCAACGGTGCAGCAAATTTTGGACAATTCCTGGCTCAAATTCACTCTGCGTGTACTCTAATTCAGGCTCCATTCACACGGGAACTTCTGGGATTCCCGCGGCGCGATCCCCAGGTGTGCCCGTTCAGATGCTGCTGCTGTACCCATTCAAGTCAATGACAGGGTGGCAGCGGCCGCATCTGTAAGCTGCGGTCTGTGTATATTGTATAATTACTTACAGTATGGGATAGATGGCGGTCGCTGGAAACATCTATCCTCCGTCCACCCCATATCACATGTAATCATTCCATGCACCATTACGTGTGGACTGTCAGTGACAGATGTGATCACTGTCATTCTGCTATAACTTCAATGTATACAGGGGTGTCATCTGAATTGACACCTGGGATTGCCTGTGTGAATGGGCCTATGGGCCAAGAAAGTAAGGCATATACACATACATATACACACACAGAGCAGACTGGTTGTTGAAGAATACTCCCGTGTGTGGAGCCTGGGATGCTAAGGATGTGATGTCACTGACAGAGGTGGCGGTGTTTTGTAAGCACACGTCATGGCAAAGCTCTTTCACAGTAAAACACCTCATGTTAGGAGACATTGTGATAACATGTCAGCCCCGAGCCTGCTCCCCTTCCATGACACACGAGAGGCCGGGAACACACAGCCAGGTGCAGTGAGGAAGTGGTGAGGGCAGCCAATACCGCACGGTGCGGAGGAGGGCGCAGCACACGCTGGGTGACAGGGGGGCCTCGTACCACGTGGACTCGGTGTGAGCCCCCCGGACACCCAATGTAAACATGATATATACACACACAGCAGGTAGACGTGTGCGGTGATAAACGACAGCAAGCATGCCGGAGCCTGACACACACAGGCTCATTTATGAAAGGGGAAGCTGAGACTCAAGGCGTCCACACACAGTAATAGACAATCATGTCACACACAGACACAAGGAAGAACCGCTCACACACAGGAGACACACCGTCCCATTGTGATAATAGACACACACACACACTGCTGGGCACTGACCCGGTTTTGAGGCCCCCGGTGCGGGCGGTCAGGCCCGGGATCCAAACTCTCCGGTAGCTCTGCTCCCCGCCCGCTGTATCCGGCGGCCCGCTCGGTTTATCACCTAAGGCCCATGGTAGCTGCGAGGCCCGGAGCCTGAGACCTGCGGAGACTGAGAGTGACAGGAGGCGAGAGACAAGCGGGAGACACACAAGGCTGTGCGCGCTGAGGAAGGCGGGGGGGATACCATAGAGAGGGATGGAGGAGAGTGTGTGATCACAGGAGGGAGGAGAGAGCCGTGTACACACACGGGGAGGAGGGATGAGGATGATAACAGGCTGCTATGTACAGTCCCAGCAAGTGGACGAGTGCCGATTGTTAGCTCAGCAGACAAAACAATAGAGAAGAGGGATTGCAGCAATGGTCGGGGGGGATAAGGAGGGGAGCTATAGTGAGGGGGTCATAGGTCATCAGAGGTTATGACCGCTACACATGATCTACTGTTGTGAGAGGACTATGGAGGCGGCCATCACTGGCCTGATCTTTCATGTCTGGCTGAATTCTGGACAGAGACTTGTTCTGGGTCAGTGAAGCTGCAGCATCAGCATGTCAATCAAAAGCTGCAACAATGGCAGCCTCCATTTTTTTTCTCCACACAGGCTTAGTTTACTCTTGCAGTAAGATACATTATGCAATGAAGGGTGTCCCATACTTTTAGAAACACTGTGCATCATTAACACTTGTTACATTTTAATTTCGATAGCTGTAGGCCAGGGATGCATCGAAATTTCAGCCGCCAAAACATTTAAGCCGAAAATGGTACTATGGGCAAAATGCAGCTGGTCTCCCCCCCCCCACTGGGCGCCGGTCTGTGTCCCCCTGATCCCTGCTGCTCTCCCCCACCTGTAGCGGCAGAGGCAGTCGGGATCGGAGGGAACACAGCCGATACGGTTGCCGGCGCTCAGCCTGGAGCAGAGAAGCCGTCAGGAGGCCTAGCGGGAAGGAGACAGCTGTCAGGAGGCCGAGTGAGGCAGTGCGGGGAGGAGACAGCTTTCAGGAGGCCAAGCGCAGTGCGGGGAGGAGACAGCTGTCAGGAGGCCGAGCGGGGCAGTGCGGGGAGGAGACAGCTGTCAGGAGGCAGTGTTGGGAGGAGACAGCTGTCAGGAGGCAGTGTGGGGTGGAGACAGCTGTCAGGGGGCCGTGTGGGGAGGAGACAGCTTGCAGGAGGTCGAGCAGGGCAGTGTAGGGAGGAGAAAGCTGTCAGGAGGCCGAGCGGGGCAGTGTAGGGAAGAGACACCTGTCAGGAGGCCGAGCATGGCAGTGTGGGGAGGAGACAGCTGTCAGTAGGCAGAGCGGGGCAGTGTAGGCAGGAGACAGCTGTCAGGAGGTCGAGAGTAGAGCAGTGTGGGGAGGAGACAGCAATCAGTAGGTCGAGAGTAGAGCAGTGTGGGGAGGAGACATCTGTCAGGAGGTCGAGCGGGGCAGTGTGGGGAGGGGACAGCTTGCAGGAGGCCGAGCAGGGCAGTGTAGGGAAGAGACACCTGTCAGGAGGCCGAGCAGGGCAGTACGGGGAGCAGACAGCTGTCAGGAGGCCGAGAGTGGAGCAGTGTGGGGAGGAAACAGCTGTCAGGAGGCTCAGAGCGGGGCAGTGCAGGAAGGAGACAGCTGTCAGGAGGCCGAGAGCAGGGCAGTGTGGGGAGGAGACAGCTGTCAGGAGGCCGAGCAGGGCAGTGTGGGGAGGAGACAGCTGTCAGGAGGCTCAGAGCGGGGCAGTGCAGGAAGGAGACAGCTGTCAGGAGGCCGAGAGCAGGGCAGTGTGGGGAGGAGACAGCTGTCAGGAGGCCAAGCAGGACGGTGCAGGAGGAGAGCTTGGCTCCTGTGACAAGTGGAGCAGTCAGATTGGAGAGCAGTTACAAGCACTCAGCAATCAGTACTGTTCTCTTGAGTGTTTGTAAATAACTCAGGACATAGTGCTTACTGTGTCCCCAGTTATGAATGAACAGGAAGTACTCTACATCACTTCCTGTTCAATTATTGCCGGCGCTCAGCCTGGAGCAGAGAAGCCGTCAGGAGGCCTAGCGGGAAGGAGACAGCTGTCAGGAGGCCGAGTGAGGCAGTGCGGGGAGGAGACAGCTTTCAGGAGGCCAAGCGCAGTGCGGGGAGGAGACAGCTGTCAGGAGGCCGAGCGGGGCAGTGCGGGGAGGAGACAGCTGTCAGGAGGCAGTGTTGGGAGGAGACAGCTGTCAGGAGGCAGTGTGGGGTGGAGACAGCTGTCAGGGGGCCGTGTGGGGAGGAGACAGCTTGCAGGAGGTCGAGCAGGGCAGTGTAGGGAGGAGAAAGCTGTCAGGAGGCCGAGCGGGGCAGTGTAGGGAAGAGACACCTGTCAGGAGGCCGAGCATGGCAGTGTGGGGAGGAGACAGCTGTCAGTAGGCAGAGCGGGGCAGTGTAGGCAGGAGACAGCTGTCAGGAGGTCGAGAGTAGAGCAGTGTGGGGAGGAGACAGCAATCAGTAGGTCGAGAGTAGAGCAGTGTGGGGAGGAGACATCTGTCAGGAGGTCGAGCGGGGCAGTGTGGGGAGGGGACAGCTTGCAGGAGGCCGAGCAGGGCAGTGTAGGGAAGAGACACCTGTCAGGAGGCCGAGCAGGGCAGTACGGGGAGCAGACAGCTGTCAGGAGGCCGAGAGTGGAGCAGTGTGGGGAGGAAACAGCTGTCAGGAGGCTCAGAGCGGGGCAGTGCAGGAAGGAGACAGCTGTCAGGAGGCCGAGAGCAGGGCAGTGTGGGGAGGAGACAGCTGTCAGGAGGCCGAGCAGGGCAGTGTGGGGAGGAGACAGCTGTCAGGAGGCTCAGAGCGGGGCAGTGCAGGAAGGAGACAGCTGTCAGGAGGCCGAGAGCAGGGCAGTGTGGGGAGGAGACAGCTGTCAGGAGGCCAAGCAGGACGGTGCAGGAGGAGAGCTTGGCTCCTGTGACAAGTGGAGCAGTCAGATTGGAGAGCAGTTACAAGCACTCAGCAATCAGTACTGTTCTCTTGAGTGTTTGTAAATAACTCAGGACATAGTGCTTACTGTGTCCCCAGTTATGAATGAACAGGAAGTACTCTACATCACTTCCTGTTCAATTATGATTGTGGATATAGTAACTCATACTATCTCCTCATCTTATTCAGTATAGAGGATTGACCCTGGACTACGTTGGTGGATCTATTTTTTGGGGGGGGGGGTTTTAAGTAGGGATGAGCCGAACACCCCCGTGTTCGGTTCTAACTCGAACTTTCTAACATGGAAAAAGTTCTAATTCGAACTTAGAACTCAATGCAAGTCTATGGGGGTAGAACTCAGAAAATTAAATGTCCTCATTTTGAAGCCTTATATGCAATTAATTGGCCATAAAAAGTGTATGGGGATCCGGGTACTGCCCTGGGGGACATGTATCAATGAAAAAAACACTTTTAAAAAATACAATTTTTAACCACCTCCTGGCCGGCCGTAGTAAAAAAAATTTTTTAGTGAAAAAAAACATTAAAGTCCCCCCCCCCCAAAAAAAATTTTAAGTTACACATCAAAAAGAATTTAAAAAAAAATTAAAACATTTAAAAGTCCCCACCCATACATACACGCATGCAAACATGCGTTGGGGGCGCATACCTGCGATAACGACGATTGCGCACAAACCGATGAGCGGTAAAAGCCTTTAAAGCGTCGCCTATGGCCAATTTTGGGTATGGTAGTTTTCTGCGATGTCGCAGGTGCGCGCAATTTTAAAGCTTGACGTGTTTGGTGTCTATTTAAACGACGTGAACCCGACTTTTATATTTTACCAAAAAACTGGGTAATAAGTGTTTCCTAACATAATGTAAATAAAAACCTATTTTTTTCAAAAGTTTCAGTAATTTTTCCTAATTATAATATATACATACATACATACATATATATATGTATCAATGTGCTGTAACTAACTATACTAGAACCCCCTCTCTCTATCTCCTACAACACACTACATGGGGCCGCGGGTTCAGCAGCCTTATATAGTGTGCTGCAGGGACTTAGCTGTGATACATGATTGGGCAGAGTCATCGTGACTTTGCTCAATCATGGCTCTATATTTGTACTGAGCCCTGATTGGCACAGTCTTGCACCTGACCTGCTGTCAGGTGCAAGACTGTAGCCAATTACCGTTTCGGACGGCGCAGTGCATTGTGGGATGTTACATCCCGTAATGTTCGGCGTTCGGCGAACACTAGAACAGGCTATGTTCGAGTCGAACCTATGTGCGACTCGAACATGCAGCCCATCCCTAGTTTTAACAATAAAGGTCAAAATGAGCACTTAAATTAAACATTAAACCCTCAGATTTTTTAACATAAACCAATACTGTAATGTGCGCCTTACTGTAATCCATGGTTGTTTCCCTTCTCTTTGCTGGGGAGAACTTCCCTTTGCAGCTGAGTGCCTCTTCCTGTAGTGCTGGCTCAGGTTGTGAACCTGCACACAGACACCATGTATCCATTCCAGAGACAAGGCACTCTGCTGTAAAACAGAAGTTCTGCCCAGCATGAGAAAAAGGGGCAGACAGGGGCGGGGAGAAGGCGGGGAAGAGGCAGAGCGGGAGGGGGGCCAAGTTGCTGCACCATGGGCCTCTGGGTTGTACTAAAAGTTGCCAGTCAGTCCCTGAAAGCATGAGAGAGAGAGAGAGTATTATAAAATATTCACTACAAAACGAGAAGCTACAGTTTTATTCTAATGCATATGCTGGTAACAAATGTATATACATGCCCCAAATAGAAAATATATTTGTATTCTTAAAAACACAAATCAAGTCATCGCATACACTGTATCTTCTGTATCTTTCCAACTTTTCCATGCAGTGGACCTGCCTCATGGTTCTGAACAGGAAAGTTGAAACTGTTGCTTTTGAAAACAGCAGACTTTACTATTTGTCACTGTGGAAGCTGTTCTATCATCTCAATCAGCACAATATTTGCTGCAGGACAGGTCATGGTTATTTTTCTGCAAAGCTGCTCATTTAGCTGAGGAAATACACATTCTCGGCTTCCTATTCATCTCTCACTTGTTCTCAATCATCATTATGATGCAGCAGTTTGGCAGTTATTGTCCTGCAGATATATTTGTCACAAGGACGTTATACAGATGGTATGTGTAAAGTACATGGGGAAAAGTCCAGTTGTTGGCATTTTATAAGACTCCGTGGGCTTGGTCTAACAGTTGCCTGGCACATTTCCTTCATTATTGCAAAAGAGTGACGTGTTTGAAAGTGGATGCAGCACTTTCATTTA